TGTATTATAAAATTTGGAAAGCCTTGAGCGTGTTCAGGATGGAGTTCCAGATAATATATTAATCTTCAGTATAATGTATTATAAAATTTGGAAAGCCTTAAGCGTGTTCAGGATGGACTTCCTGATAATATATTAATTTTGAGTATAAGGTATTATAAAATTAGGAAAGCCTTGAGCGTGTTCATGATGGGCTTTCGGATAATATATTAATCGTCAAGATAATGTATTATAAATCTTGGAAAGCTTTGAGCTTGTTCAGGATGGGCTTCCTAATAATATATTAATCTTTAAGATAGGATTTAAGGTTTAAGGTTTAGAGTTTAGGGTTGATGTTTTAGGGTTTAAGGGTTTAGAATCTAGTATATTAATCTTCAGAATAATGTGTTCTAAAATTTGGAAAACCCCAAGCGTGTTCAAGATGGATTTCTGGATTGAAGATAATGTACTATAAAATTTGGAAAACCATGAACGTGTTCAGGATGGGCTTTCAGAATTAAGATTAAAAGATACATGTCCATATTCACACTCACGTGCTCGAATTGAATTCAAATTTTATCATGTCCTAACATTTTTATTTGAACCAAAAAAAAAACTCAAATCAAACCAAAATTCATAAATAACTGAAGTATTACTATTTTTCTAGAACCGAAAATCGAAACCCACAATTAAAATGGATTGAAACCGAAAACAAAAATTACAATTGGGATGTAAACCAAAATTTATAAAATATCTTAAAATCATTAAATTTTTAATTAAAAACATAAATTATAAATATAAATAATCCGTGCAACCGCGCGGATTAGAATCTAGTTGTACAATTAACAACTGCTCGATATACAACTACTCTTGCGGGTCCTTTGTCACTTATCAACCCTTTTAATTTCATATTTTTTTAATCTCCAACCCATTCATGAATAAATTTTTGAAAGTAGGTCTGTTACAAAAATACCAGAAGATATATGATCTGATATTATCCATATTGCGCGGAGAATATAATCATTTAGGTTTTGAAATTCTTTAGAAATATATCACATCTCGATATTTTAGAAAATATGTTAATTATTTTGTATTAAATTGTTATTTTAAAAATATATTTTTCTATTATAAAATTCAAGTGAATTTACTGACTGATTTGTAACTTCTCCATGATTTTTTGTAATTTTGCTTGTTTGTCATATAATAAAACGAATTTATATTAATAATATTATACTTTTAGACAATAAAATATTTCTTATATATTATATTGTTACCTTTAAAATATATTTTTATCATAGAAATTAAAAATTAAGTTAAAATATTAATAATTAAATATAATGAAAGCAATGCTGCTTTATCGACTTCTCCATGGTTTTATATTTTGCTTATTTATCATAATTGAATACTTTCATATATAATTTATTAAATAATAAAATGAATGTATACTAATAATACTAGATTTAAAAAAATATGAAAATTCTTATGTATTAGATTGTTATCTTGAACATATACTTTCTATTAGAAAATTTAAGTGAATTATCAGATTTGTAATTTCTCCATGATATAGATAATTTTGATTATTTGTCATATTTTTAATAATTTCATATAAAATTTCTTATAAAATAAAAATGATTTTCGATTAAAATTATATTTTGAGAAAATAAGATATTTCTTATGTATTATATTTTTATCTTGAAAATATATTTTTTATTATAGAAATAGAAAATTGAAATAGAAAAAATATAATTAAAATAAATTAAAGTAACAAATTTGTAAAAATATATTTTTACAAATATTTTGTTATGTGAGTGTTGTCATTTTTAATTAGTTTTAAAACATAAATCATAACTTATTATATTGGTTTGAATTAATAAAATATCAACTAATAATAAATTGTAAGAAAATTATGCCCGCATGTGCGAAAAAAACACCTAGTTAAATATGATATGATGAGAATTATAGTCCAATATGATCTGATGTAAACATTGGTTTAGTTATATAGTTTAAAAATATATTGGGATAATCTAATTTCATGTGTATATATATTTAAGAGAAAATTCCATAAAAATGCTCCAACTAAATTTTGTTAAGTTCTTTAATATTCAAATTTTTCCGTTACTCAGTTTAATACCCTAACTAATTAATTTTTCTACTAGATATTGACCCGCCCTTTAGAAGGGCGGGTATAATTTTTGTTTTAATAATTTTTTATATTTGTTTGTGTTTTAATTATATTTGTGTTAAATATTAATTTAACTAAATATAATTTTTGGTAATCATATTAAATAGGTCATGTTGCATAACTATACATTTGTGCCATATACATTTCAGAAATTAATTTTAAATTTTATTTATAAAGTTTGCAACATATTTATATTTTCTTAGTAGTTACTTAGCTATAACAATTATAATTGTTGACGTAAAAAACACTTACATATCATTTATCAATTGTTCAGGATCTTAATTTAATTTTAATATATTATAATTTACTAATTATTATCAAAGTATATATTGAGGTATTAAAAGAAACAGAGACGAATTATATTTTGAATATGAATAAACAATTCAACTTTTTAATTTCTACTTATATAAATCATTAATTTATGATTTTGATGGGACCAAAAATCATAGGATTTTCTTTAAAATTATTATCTTAACGATTTGTGTACTATAAAGACATGGTCCAACTCGGGAATGAAAAAAAAAATAGTTTACCATCTTTACTACGAAATTCATTATTGTTAAGTATGATTTGTTTGATTATTAATGTAAGTTCGTCCTTGATTTAGCTTCTTTTAAAACAAAATTAAACAAATTAAACATAAAAACCTATCGACCAATCAAATTAAAAGATTTAATTGGAGAGTTCTGCTATGAATGACACATAAACCAAAATCATTAAAGTGATTTTTCAATTAATATATAGTATGATATAAATAAATCAAAAATAAAAATCTATCAACCAATCAAATTTTAAAAAAAAATTATTTGGAGAGCTCTTCTATGAATGGCATATAAACCAAAATCACTAAAGTGATTTCTAAATTAATATATAGTAGGATATAAATAAATCAAAAATAAAAACTTATCAATCAATCAAATTAAAAGAATTAATTGGAGATCTCTTCTAGGAATGACACATAAGCTAAAATCATTAAAGTGACTTCTCAATTAATATATAGTAGAATATATATATATATATATATATATATTAGAATATATATTGAGAAAAATAGTTATTATTATAATTATTAATAAATAGTAATTATTGTATTTTTATATATTTAGAATCTCTAGAGCATATTTTGAATTTATTTAAAAGTCTTGTTTTAGTTAAAATTATAAACCTATATATATGATGTATCAAAAACTTTAAATTATAATCCAAAGGTTGAACAGTTTCGAACTGAAAAACATTAATAGAAACCTGCAAAACATAGATAAAACATGAAAAAAATGACTACAATGACGACATAGTTTAACACCATTTCCAAAACTTTCATATAAAAATATTTTATAAGACATTTTGGAAGATTATGGTGTATAATATTTTTGCCCACATTAATATTAATAGTTACGTAAATTCCACTAAGACCACGTGAATAATGTAACAGTTTGATTTAATGGAGTAATGAAACAGTTTGATTTAATGGGGTAAAACGTGGGAAACGGTTAAAAACATTTATTAATATAAAAGAGTAAAAAGTAGGAATAAATAGTTGGACTGAACATTTATCAATTGGTCATACTGCTGTTTTAATAGAATAGATTTTAAGAACTTTAATAGTTGTACCCATTTTACGACATAAGATTTTTTTATATTTTAATTAACAATACTAATAAATTCCAAACAAATTTTTAAAAAATCTCTAATATTAAGAATTTTTTAAAACAATTTCTAATTTTACTTGAAGATATAAGAAAGTCGGTAAATAAATTCTGGAGAAGATTTAAAAGTTTTAAAAATTAATTTGGAACGAAAATAAATTAATATATTTTTATTTTAGAAAACAAACTAATTCAATATTTAAAACGTAAAAAAATATTAAAAATTTAAGATTAGACAAAATTTAATTACTTTTATTTCTCAAACAAAAAATAAAATTAGAATTTTTGGTAAAGCTTAGAGATTTTTAAAATTAAATTTGATATTTATTAATATTTTTAATTAAAATAAATAAAGTTTTGGTATTAAAATGGGAAAATAATTAGTTGGAGTAACAAATTAGGTAAGGGAAAAATTTGAGTACTAAAAAACTTAACGACATTTAGTTGGGATACTTTTATGGAATTTAACTATATTTAACTAACATTTGAATACTGCGTGTATTTAATACATTTATTTTATAGTTTTGATAGTAATTAATTTTTATAAAGAAATATCAAACTCTTATCATAATATTAAAAATGAAATCTTTAACAATTAGAAATTTTATTTATCAAGTAAAAGAGTTAAGTTAAAATATTAGAAATTATATAAATATATGTTTTACTTGGTGAGAAAAGTATATCAATATTTTTTATTTGATGAAAATGTTTTTTGTTATATAAACTAAATAAGAAATGAGAAAAGTATACTGATATTTTCAGACAAATTTTAAAATTGATGTTCCTAAGCACAAATGCATGTTAGTATCATATTTTGTATGTTTCCTTATTTTATTGGCTTCTCAATATATTAATATGAATTTTTATAAAATGCAAGGGTAATCAAAGTCTAAAAATGGTAATAGTTGAGATTAGTTGTCCCTTTTGGCAAAGTTCTCTATATATATTGTAGCCAAAGTATATATATATGGAATGCATCTTGCTTTTGTTCCCATTGTCTTGCATAACAATATATATAACAAAGCTTGAAGTTGAAGACATGAGAGATCATTTAAACTTTATGTCACACAATTCTCACACTACAAATATCAGTTGTCAAATCTGTGACGAGCCGTGAACTTGAATTCTTTCGGTACATAAGCAGAACTAAAACTGTACATCTAAACTAAACAGAACATAACATCATCGTTTCTTTCTTAGACAAACAGAGGCGAAGCAGAAGGACGTGGATAAGCAGCTGCTACTCCGTCTACAGCTGTTTGTTGAGCAAAACTGTCTCTTCTCCTACGCATTTTTCTCTCGATCTTATCGATGTCTTTTCCTCCTGCATCATGCAAAGCTTGGATGTTTTCGAGGTGAGAAACAATCTCGTTCATGTTTGGCCTCAGATTTTTGTCAATGTTGAGACATCCCAACACGTGGGTAGCTACTTTATATGCTTCTTCCACTGAGCATTGATCTCGGATACGGTTATCGATAACTCGTGAAATCTTCTTCTTGCTTGCAAGTAACGGTTTTGCCCAATCAACCAGTTTTTGCTCTCTCGGTGGACGATTATTGTCCACAACTTTACGACCAGACAACATCTCCAAAAGTACAACACCGTAGCTATAGACATCACTCTTGGTTGTTAAATGACCTAAGTGAAAGAGTTAGTAGTCGTCATGAAGAAGTAAATCAAATCACATAAATTAGAAAACAGACTTTTGAGAGACTAACCGTTGATAAGGTAATCAGGGTCTGCGTACCCATATGTACCTATGACCCTTGTAGAGACATGGCTGTCATCACCTGTTGGACCGTCTTTAGCCAAACCGAAATCAGATAGCTTAGCATTGTAGTTCTGTGATCATGTCAATGAGATTTTTCTTAACTATAAAATCTTATTATCACAGCTATTTTCCATCATATAAAAAGATGGAAGTACCGAATCAAGAAGTATATTAGAGGTTTTGAAGTCGCGGTATATGACTTGCGTCTCGGCGCTGTGAAGAAAAGCTAGACCTTTTGCACAACCAAGAGCAATTTTCAACCGAAGATTCCAAGATAATGGTTCGAAGTAGGAACCTCCTGCAACAAAAGGAAACAAGATTGAATAACATTTCGAATTACCAGATGAATAAACAAGAGAAGAGAAGACAATACTTCTGAATAAATGATTCTCTAAGCTTCCACAAGGCATGAACTCATACACAAGAAGATGATGCTCATCCTCTAAGCAGTAACCGATGAGTTTCACAAGATTTGGGTGAGAAAGCCGACCCAGGTAATTGACTTCCGCCTGCAGCAGCATTAATCAAAGAAAAACATAAACAAACAATCTTCAATATAAGTGCAAAAGATTGAAGTTAGCTTTTCCAATTTACCAGCCATTCTTGATGACCTTGCCAACCCTCTTTGTTAAGTCTTTTGACAGCAATAACCATACCGGTTCCTGGTTTAGATGCAGTCAGAGATTCCTCATCAATCCATCCTTTAAAGACGCAACCGAATCCACCTTCACCAAGAACACTATCTGGTCTGAAATTCCTAGTTGCTGCTTTGAGCTCAGCAAAGCTGAAACTTTTGAGGTTTGGAGATTGCAAGATCTCTCCTTCCGTTCGAGGGCTTGTTCTGACAGACACAGAAGAGCATTTGCTTCCCATGCTTTGTGTATCATTTGCCTCTGAGCTCATATACTTCGGACTCGTGCCTATGCAAACACCAAACAAATAGCTCGCATATAAAAAAACTTTAGATTTCACTTTCTTAACGAATCCCATTTCTCCAAAAATTAGAACAAATGGTTTTGTTGTAAAAGATCAGACAAATGTAAAGATTCTGAATTTCTTGCTTGTATTTTCTTCTGACAACTAAAATGAGCAGTGAATTGGCCAAACACCCAAAACGACAGTTTACGAAAACCTAATAACTAATTTTGTTTGAAAAAAAAAACTAATCATTATCAGCGTTAGAAAACCAAACTTTAATTAAGTTAAGTCCCGGAAAGCCTAACCTCAAATTGAAAAAAATGGGTAAAGAATAAATGAACAACGAATCCTAAAGTTAGACCCTACTCTATTGCCGACCAAAATAACTTCAAACTCTTAAAACCTCAAAATTAGCTTGAGCCCTGTAGTACTCTAACATGAACAATCATGCAAATCGCCATGATACTGAGAAGGATAAAAAAAAAACCCATGTTTCTCTCTCAAGAAGAAACATATCAAAAACGTGAGGACAAAGATTTTGCAATGTTTCTAACTGGATTTAGTACATATATATCTGGTTTCTGGTATATGGAAAATTTTACAAGAATTGATTTGGTTACTATATTACCAAAATGCATTTACTTTTTCAGTTTACCATTAATTACATATTACAGAGTTACTGGTGTTTTTGCTTGAGTGGTGAAATGATAGATAACTACGGAGAAGTTATTCACGATATCGTGTAGTAAAGTCAAAACACGAAAAATGTTATATATTGATTGCAGGGTCAGTAAACAAATATATAGCCTCAAAAAAATGAATGCACCGCACGCATTCGCATGGAATGGGGACATGGTCCAAGAGAGCGGATGTGGTAGGTCACTTAGCCATGGGTGGTCGGAGCTTTACAATTGGTATCAGAACCAAACGCAAACGAGTGTGAAGTTTTGTGTGGACTTCCACTAGCATGAGTAACAATGTTGAGGTGCAATGAGGACGTTGCCTTCTGAGAGGGGATGAACTGTAACATCGCGATTTGTGGTATATGTGAGAGGCTTAAAATAATTGATTTGACTACCTATGTCACCAAAGTACACTTACATTTCCGGTCACATATCCATTTAGAACTCTATTAAGTGTGCTTTAGCTAGACTAGTGGAAGGACGGATGACCCATCGGTAAGTCATTTGCAGTATCGTTTGAGTGAAGCCAAAGCACAGGGAAAATTATATTGGTGATTGCATGGTCAGTAAACAACTCTATTGAGCCTCTGAAAAATTAACGCACCAGTCTTCACATAGAATGGGGCCCACAGACCAAGTTAGCGGGTGTGGAAGGCCCATTAACCGTAGGCGGTCGAGGCACTACAAGTAATTGTAACATCATGTTTTGTGGTATATGTGAAAGTTTTAATAGAATCGATTTAGCTAGCTTTTATCACCAAAGTGCATTTACCTTTTCGGTCATACATCCATTTAGAACTCCAGGGTTAAGCGTGCTTTAGCTGAAGTAGTTAATTCAAGTGTGACATACTGGGAAGTCATTCTTGGTATTGTGTGAGTGAGGCCAAAGTACGGGAAAATGTCATGTGGTGATTGCAAGGTCGGAGAACAACTCTATTGAGCCTCCAAAAAATAACACCGACCATCGCACATAATGGGGCCACAGGCGCCGAGTTAGCGGGTGTGGAAGACCCATTAGTTATGGGTGTTCGGGTCTACAAGTGGTATCAGAGCCAAACCCAGACGAGTGTGGAGTCTTGTGTGGGCTCACTATAACATTGGTAATGATCTTGGGGAAAATTGAGAACGTTACGTTCTGAGAGAACGTGGTGTATGTGAAAAGATTAATAGAATTGATTTGGCTTCCTATATCACCAAAGTACACTTATATTTTTAATCACATATATTTAGAACTCTAGGGTTAAGCGTTCTTTAGCTGGAGTAGTGGAATGATGGGTGACCTACCGGAAAGTCCGTCGCGTTATTTTCAGTGAGGTCTAAGCATGAGAAAATCTTCACATGGAAATTGCAGGGTCCTTAAACAAGTTTATTGAGCCTCCCAAAAATTAACGCATCGGACGTCGCATAAAATGGGGTCCACTGGCAAATTTAGTGGGTGTGGAAAATCCATTAGCTGTGGGTGGTTCGGACTTTACAAGTGATATCAGATCCAAATCTAGACGGGTGTGAGGTCATGTGTGGGCTCACACTAACATGGGTGACGATTTTGGAGTGTAACGAGGACCTTGCGTTCTATGCGAGGAGGTAAATTGTAGCTACCGGTTTGTGTTATATGGAAAAGTTTAAAATAATTGATTTTGTTTCCTATGTCATCAAAGTGTACTAAAACTTTTCGGTCCACCGTCAATTTAATACTCCAGAGTTAAATGTACTTTTGCTGGAGTAGTGGAGATATGTGACTTATCGGGAAGTGATTTGCGATATTGTGTGAGTACAGGCAAAGTGGAGAGAAATGTTATGTGGTAATTGTAGGATCAGTAAAAAAGTCTATTAAGTTCTCGAAAAATTAACAACCGTATCCGATGAAATGGAGCCTCTTGTCCGAGAAGGCGGACGAAAAAGGGCCATTAGCCATGGATGTTAGGATATTACAATACATTTTAAAGAAACTGAACATGAAATTAATGAGAAAGGAATTAAAATATCGCTCACCAATTTTCTTTGTAAAGCAAAAAATAGCTAGAGAAAGGGAGAAGTTTCTAACAACACTCAGCAATGTTTCTACGAGTAGCGGGGAGAGAGAGGATTTGGGGAGTGGCAATGATGATAGACTGATCCTGCTTTAAATTTTAAACCCAGCTCTTTAATTTTAAAACATTTAAAATTCAACGTTGATTTCGTTTTTAGAATTTTAAACAGATATGAAATTTTTGTTCAGTTAAATAATATTCACAAAAATATATGAGGCTTAACAGAAAATTATGTTACTGGGATGGATCTGAGTCTCATAAACGATGGTGGAGAGGACAAGGAGTCTCAGGCGTCATGTGCAAGCTACTACTTTATAGACAAAGCCGCGGACGACCCGGTACCTCCAGAGTTGGACCCATGAAGATCATCACATGGAATTGGCACAACCTCGGTCCTATGGGTCTTAACTGAAAATAGATTACGTAAACTATGTTTTACCATTAAGACAAATTACGTAGAATGACTCTAATCATATTAGAAAATACTAGACTAACTCATATATAATAGTAATTACTAGAATGACACAAAAAGTTGACAAATTTACTAAAAAAACCATCATTTACTTAATTAACCAAAATGCTTAAAATTAATTAAAACATATGTTAATATAATAAAATCCTAAAATTAAATAATAAGGGAAAATGATACCTTTACGGTTTTCTCTTCAGTCCTCGACAACACCCTCCTCGACGAAACCGAAACCGTTCTCACCTCCTCTCCACAATCTTCTTCTTTGCCCTCCATCTCAGGTGACGCCATTCTCAGAAACAGCCGGCATCCATTTCACCTCGCTTTCTCGAAGTCGTTGTTGTCCCTTTCATAATTGAGGTTGTAAGTGCTAAATCTATGCAAGTCTGAGTTGTTATTGAACGATTCAACATATATTATCAGACTGAATGCTTAATTTTGAAATCCTTAATTTTCAATTTCATCTCCTTCGACTTTGAATTCCAAACACTGGTATGTTTTTTTTTGAAATAATGGTTATGGCATAGGGTTTGCTTATTTTTTTCTTGAATGTTTAAGCTTGTAACTCCAATTTTTAATTCCAATATCACTTTCGACATTCAACTTGAGTTTAAGTTGATGTATGTTTCTGTTTCTTTTTTCTTGTTTTCATAACGCGAATCTCATATTTCTTTAGAACCATTAGAGTTAAAGTTTCTTCTGTTTTTTCCATGATTTAGTTATCCGTTTTAATCTGATTATTGTCGATTGTGCTTTTATTTTGCAGGTACGGCTTCTTCTTCATGTTCGAAAAAGTATCCTCCTCGTCTTTACCGGGTTGGCAAAAACCCAATTCAGAATCGGAGCATGAATCATAGTTGTTTCTTGTCCAACATTCAGACGGTGGTGGAAGCTGTTGGGGATGATATTGTGTCTGAGTTGAGGGAATCAGCTGTTGGAGTGATTGTGAATCTGAAAGATTTGGATTACATTTGGTATGCTTCTTGCATTCACCATTCTCTCTTCAATCAATTGGTCATTGAGAGCAGTCATGAGATGTGGTCCTTGATAGACTCTATGCTAGTGCGGTTCTCTTTGTACGAGTTTGAAGAGATTACAGGGCTAAACTGTGATCCTTTTGACACGTCGGATCTCTGGGATGTGGATCGCAAAGACTTTTGGCTAGAGATGAATGTTCCAACTTCGGAAGGATTTACATTCAAAGAACTACAAGCCATTTTTCTTATTTTCAGAAATTGGTCGTGGGAGAAGCGAGTAATGATAGGTTTGTTGTGTCTGTTATGCATCGGGATATTTCGAATTTCAAACAATAGCAGAATCTCTTTGGCTTGTGCTTAAAGGGCGATGGACACAGCAGCTTTCCAGCGATATCCATGGGGTCATGTATGATTTATCAGCCTTATTGAGTCTATTAAAGTACTCACACATGAATCTAAGAAGAGTTACACACTTCATGGACGTGTTCATGTGCTCTTAATATGGATCTTTGAGTATGTCCCTGGTGTGGGAGAGAAATTTGGGAATCGGATAGAAGGAGCTGATGTCCCTCTTCTGTCATGCCGGAAATCTTATCCGCGTATCAATTTCTCAGATTTTTGTGCACAAGAAAAGAAAAAATATTAGAAGGTATGAATAAAAGTTTTAATATCTTCTATCTACTTTATGTAAGTTATACTAATCTTGTATATACAGGTTCGTGTGTGGCATATTGTTGTGAAGCCATATGATGATATATATCCGAAGTGGGACGATAGTAAAGTTTTTACTGATTTAGATAACATGATTCAAGACATCCTTAGTGGCAAGCTTGATGACAATTTTTGAGAAGCAAGGAGTGATTCTAAGTCCAAAAAAAGAAACATTCATGTGAGCCCACCTGCGGTTCCAGAT